ATTGTCATTTATAAATTCATCATTGTCTTCTCGAGTTATGCTGCTCACACACACAGACACACACACACACACACACACACACACACACGCATACAGGCACATACACACACACACGCACACACACACATACACAAACACACACGCACGCACGCACGCACACATGCATGTACACACTCAGGAACGCAATCATACACAAACACGCACACATGTACCCACACACAAACATATACACACAAACACACATACACGCACGCACACACACACATGTACAAACAAACACGCACGCACGAACACATGTACCCACACACAAACATAATTTATACATACATAAATACACGCACGCAAACACACATGTACACGCGCACGCACACATGCGCGCGCGTACATGCACACTCACCCACAAGCACGCACGCACGCACACACACACACACACACGCACGCACGCACACATACGCACGCACGCACGGACACGCACGCACGCACGCACGCACGCACACACACACACACACACACACACACAAAGTAATCCGTTTGTCATGCGACAAAGGCACATTCATAGTAGAACGTGGCCCAGTTTTTTGGTAGTGGTGGTGTTTTCATGCTCCACAGTATCCAGCTGTTCCACCGTGCTGAAGGTCAGCGTCACCTGGCTGCCTCGTGCAAAAACCTAAACAACAATAAAACATCACGAAAGGTTGTAGAGAAGTTGTAAATATTGCTCCTCAAATGCAGTGGAAGACGAAATTCATTTCATCTCTAACTGTCCATTTTATGACGACATCAGAAACCAATTATTTACAGTATTTGCAGATTTTATCAATGGGTAAATGTACCTTCTTCTTGAATTCCCCGGTCACTTGTAAAGGGACCATTGCGAGCCCGCAGAAACGGAACACCACGCAAACGGTTGTCGAAACCGCACCGTTGATCGCTGAACTCCAACTTCCCAAAGTCCATGGCGTTGGGCGGCGTGACGAAGTCACTCCCGAACGCTGTTAGATGGTTACAGCGGCAGACGGTACTGTTGATACTAGACTGGTTGCTAATCTGTGGGGAACGGCAAAAAAAACGCGATGTCATTATCACATTTTGATACATTTTATTCTTAAATATTAGTTAGACTTTGTTTAGTTCCTCTCGCATTTAAATATTACTGTAAACCTGGAAATGGTCGCAGTGCTTTCATTGCCGCTATTTTCGCGGTTACTTCTCCAGATATGAATGTCGTTTGTGCTATGAACTGCTTATACATGTACAATAAATTTAGTTTCTACCCAAATGTGGACCAACAGAAAGAACAGTTACTGTGACGGTACCTACCGAACAACCGTCTGCCATCCAGGCTTCCAGGGTCTCGTTCCAGTAGAGACACCTCAGACGGGCCCACTGGATCTCGTAGGCGAAGAAGTCACGGGCATCCCCAGGGCCAGACTTGTTTTCGACGCCACACTCGGTCACTGGGCCTGAAAAATGGAGACAGCACCAGTAAGTGCTAAAAGTGTGCATTCATAAAAATTAGACACGTGCTTACAGAGGCGACTGTTATATTTCCAGCGGTACCTTGTTGACTAAAACTAAATAAGGCAATTACAAAATATATAGTCTAGTATAGAAATATTCTCTTTGTATCAGATTCCGATTTCAAATAATGACTATATAGTAATACACAAATTCAACATAATCCCTTATATTAGTACGGGCGACAAATTTAACTATTGTAGTGTCTTGGTGTGTTTTTTCGGTTTCTAACCAATGCTACAATTATCCATAAAATTCTTTACGTAGACATTTTTTTTTGTTCTGAATAAAAGATATGTTAACCAACATGTATCGTTGTCCTCCTATCTAGTATGTAAAGCATTAATGCATTGTAGCATCAAATGGCAATGCAAAACGCTGACCTAGAACCTGAACTTTGACGTAGTAGTCTCCTGGATCCTCCTCCCCTTGGATGAACATTGATGCCTTTGTCTTGTCTGTGTCGCCTTCGTCGCCACTCAGGCTTTTCGTTAAGGAACACTGCTCGGGAAGAAGGTACGTTTCCATGGACACGTTGTAGTTCTCGTCGTCAGGGCGGCCCCCGCGTCTACCCGACACGCGGTACACTACGCTTGCGTTTAACGGTATGATGGTGACCAGGAATCCCTCTGCCATGTCGGCGAGGTGGTAGAAATGATATCTGGCGCTTCTATTTCCGGCCGAAGGGATGGTTATGATCTTTGTCGCCGGTTTGTTATTGGGATTGCCGGGAATGGTGATGATAAAGTCCTCGGTGAGGTTGCGGAAGGTCATTACTTGGTTGTTGTCCTGTTCAAGGGACAGCTCTACGACCGATGTCCGGACCTGGTTTTCACCGGAGCCCCAGGTGAACGGGTTTTGGTCAAACTGCTTCATCTGAAAGACAAGAACCTCATGTTGGGCATGAATATGTTGGGCATCAATATTCCCCCCACCATGGAAATGAAGGGAAGGGATCATTGATGACTAGAGCAGGACACTGACACCTACTTTAACAGTGACACTTTGCGGCGCATGGTCCAATTCCGAGAAAAGTGCGGCTTGAGACGGAAGCTGGAAGCCTCCTTCCTCTGTCTGCACGACCTGGCCCCCAAACTCAGAACCCAAAATCTTTTGAGCACTCAGGGTGACTCCGCCTTTTGTGAGCGACACAGGTGGGTCTCCAGGCTTCAGAGTCTTTAGCATGGCATTTTCCATCTTCTCCAGGACCCGGCGGCTTTCCTCGACAAGATTGCGTCTCTGTAAGTAAAATGAAGAAAGTTGATGCAACGATTAAAGTTATTACCTATGACGATAAGCTATTGTTCATATAAGAGTGGGTCCTGTAATCTGAAATTATACAGAGTGTACTAATGGTGAACAGTTGGCTAAAGATTGTTTAAGTACCATATTAACAACATATTAAAAGCTCATTCCAAAGATACTATTTTCATATGCATACCCTTGGGACATTCAGTTAATTTCACAGCTGTCCATACAAGTCAATGGCAATAGTCAGCTGTTCATGTATGCGCAATTAAAACACACATTTGGATTGAGTTGATACGGTGTTGGAGGGTGTTGAGAAAAGCGTAATGACTTGTTCCTACCTTAGCTTCATTCTCTTGTTTCTTTTCTTCAGCCTTTTGAAGGCGCTCCTCTGGAGAGAGACTCTCGTCCTCCGCGAAGCCATCGTCTTCCGGTTTCTCTTCCGCATCTTCCTCTGGTCCTTCGAGCAGGGCGCCAACGGACTCCAACACAGCTGTGAAAGGAAAGAATTCAAGAACACAATGTTTAAACAAAATATGTTATGGCCATGCGTGAGAGTATAATACTTATATACTGGTTTGAAATGGATTATATGGCTAATCTAAAAGTCACATTGGGTTCATTCGTTGTTCCGTTTACCCAGTCTACCCTTTGCTCGTATGATATCTCTTGGTAAAGAAAGAAAGACGTCAGACCGTCATCTGGTGTCAATCTTCTCTCTGTGACTCCAGAACTAGTTAACTTGTGTTTTCTGTACTTACATCCTCCCACAGACTCTAGAGTTACCGGGTCGGACATGTCGACCTCATCCAGCGCGCTTGTGATGGACTGGAGCATGTCCAGTGCCTTTTCCTCCTGCATAAGACCAGTAGGTATCGTCATTAGCAAAATTAGAACTTTGAAAACATCAGAACTGGATTCTATTTGTGTACTCACTATGTTTGCTGTTTTCTTATCTGGAGCAAAACATCTTTGTGTGTTTACATGTTTCATTTTTGTTCTCAAAGTTGTTGGCATCTGTGCATGTGGTAGTGATCATTGAACAAGTCTAAGACTAACATCGTTCATTTGACACCCAACTACTGATGGAGAAACGAGATTATGACGGTAATGTTATTCGGGAAATAAATGTCTACTTTTGTCACACGGATACAAATCTTGCTACATATTTTGCAAATATTACTTAGACGAGGTGTAGGAACTGACACGGTCATCATACTCGGACAATCTGTATCTGTATATCCGTACATTAATCTGTATCTGATTGTAAAAAAAAATCTCGATTGATTGCCATAGATAGATAGATATTTAGACGAGGGTTTTCCTGTACTTTTACTTCTTGTATTTATTCGCATGGATCTTAAGGCTAGTCCCTCAGTTGTAACTTAGGCTTTAGTGAGTTTTATGATGGCTGCTGCACTGTATCATGTCAAAAGTTGTGTTGACCTGCATTTGACCTGTGTGAATAATCAAGCATGAAGCGTATCTAAACTGTCAAGTTGTTACATCTTAATTGTAATTAGGCCACACCAATTTAATTTGTTGGTTCTCGGATTCGCCTCTTCATTTGTTCCTGATTTGCAAAAAAAAAACATTCAGAATCAACTGCAAAAAGCTCATATTTTGCCCTGAACAGTTGAAAACAGTCCTTTTCGTCCTAGTCGTTACAGTTATTCCATCTTTCAATGCAGTGGTATCATTAGAAGTTCAAAATTCATCGTTTAAATTTTGAACCAGCCTTTTGTGTTGACTTCATACCTCCTATCGTAGCATTTGGGACTATAATAGGCTGCCTAGATCTGTTTTTATTTTTATTTTTTTCGCCCTGTCGCTTCATATTTTTCCTGAAAAAATCCGAGAACTAACAAATTTAATTGGTGTGGCCTTACGGAGCTTTGTACGTACCTCTGTCTTTTCCTCAGCAGCTGTTGTCATCACCTCTACAGGCTTCAATCATTGGAACAACAGATATAAGTACACATTGAGCAATGTATATGTAACTGCTTGCAAGGCTGCGACTGCACGGGTACTGTTTGTACAATAAAACCATTTTAAACCACCTAAACGGAGTTTGAGATCGGTGCATTTGCATCCTCTTTGAGTCACCTAAACGCCTCCAGTGTTACATACACCCATGGCAGTATGTTGTTAAATGTCATTACTTTTATCATTTAACCAAAATCTGCAAAAATTTATTGATATGAGCTGCTTCGTCTTCTACAAATCTCAAATGGAGCACTACTAGTAAATGTTGTTGAAAGCTGCAAACCTGATATGATGACGTTTGCCTGACGTCATCCGGTGATTTGCTGCTTGTTGCCGTTGTTGCTGTGCACAAAAAAAAGCGGAAGGGATGTTATTATGTTTATCGTTGTTAGTCCATTTCTACTTCTTCTACAAAAAAAACAAGGGATACATGACTTGGACCAGGCGGCTGTTACTATGGTAACTGGTACTGTAGCAGGTACCCTGTAGTGCTCCATTATATTATGTAGCAAGTGGCAGGGTAGAATTGGAGGAGCTGGTCACCATGATATGAATGTATTTAAGTAAAAATTAGACAGCGCAGTAGTTTGTTAAGCTTAACTATTAACTATGTGAAGATAAACATAATGTATTTCCCTTCCAAATGTTACCTTTCTACATTTTGTTTCATTCTTCATCAAGTAAACACATGTCTCTAATGTGTTTAGAGAGAGGCCTGAACAAGAATGACTACGTTTTCCGTGGAAGTAAATCACCAACTTACCAGCTTTGTTGGACTCTGTTGTAGGAATTGGCGGTTCTGGCTCCGAGTCATAATAGTAATCACTGTCATAAGAGTAATCACTGTCGCTTCCAGCGTCATCTGAGAGAACAGATTGATACATTAATCTCTGTACGTAATACTCCAAGATCTTTGCCACAAAAAGGGGGCACTAGTCTTACTTTAGGGGTGCAGGTTTTACTCTGGGGTGCTGGTTTTACTCTGGGGGCGCTGGTTTTACTCTAGGGGCGCTAGTTTTACTTTAGGGGTGCTAGTTTTACTCTAGGGGTGCTGGTTTTACTCTAGGGGCGCTAGTCTTACTCCAGGGGTGCTAGTCTTACTCTAGGGGCGTTGGTGCTGGTTTTACTCTGGGGATGCTGGTTTTACTCTAGGGGCGCTGGTTTTACTCTGGGGCGCTAGTTTTACTCTAGGGGCGCTAGTTTTACTCTAGGGGCGCTGGTTTTACTCTAGGGGCGCTGGTTTTACTCTGGGGGCGCTGGTTTTACTCTGGGGCGCTAGTTTTACTCTAGGGGCGCTAGTCTTACTCTAGGGGTGCTAGTTTTAGTCTGGGGGAGCTGGTTTTACTCTGGGGGTGCTGGTTTTAGTCTAAAAGCATCGCTGATGACCACCTACCGTCGTCCGACGATATCTGGTCTCCTGCAGACTCCGACGTCTTCACCGGAGTGCTTGAGGACGAGCTTGTGGAAAGGACGGTAGTCATGCGACTTGTCTGCCCACTTGTAGTAGCTGGACTCGGTATTGTCGGCACAGGCGCTAGAAGGGGGAAATAATCAAGGAAATATATCATAGCCACGACAACAAGGACGATATGTATGAATGAATGAATTTGGGGTCGTGTGGTGTAGCGGCAGAGTGCGCGACTCGAAACGTAGAGGTCCTGGGTTCGAGTCCTGACATGCCACCTATCTTGTGCCCTTGGAAAAGGCACTTTACACGACTTTCCTCACTTCACTCAGGTGAAAATGAGTATTGTCCTGTCATGTATTTGTCCCCTGTGATGGTGGTGGCATTAATATAAGTTGAAAGAAAACTTGAGTGTGCCGTCACCACGTCTGGTGATTACATGTTGGAATAAAAAAATGAATGAATGAATGAATGAATGAATAAATGAATGGCCTTTATTTAGACTGGAATGCCCTGTCGGACTTAGCCGCTCTTCCCAGAGGTCCAGTTTGGGGTGGGTGGGGTGGTCACGGGAACACAATAAATAAATAAATAAATAAATTGATAAAAAATATTACCATATACCTAGCATAATAATCAAGCCTTCTTTCTCTCTCCCTCTCTCTCTCTCTCTCTATATATATATATATATATATATATATGTATATATATATCAGTATATATATATATCAGAAGGAGAAGTGAAGGAACGGAATGCCTGTCTTATTTTGTAGAGATAATTTTTTCTTAGTTAAATTTTGGCTTAGATGCTGCTTTTCCAATAACACCGTCTTGAGGCCACCAAACGAGCTGCAAACAAACTAGTTGAAGACCACTCAGTGTACTCACCGGTCCTGTTCTGCCCGACTAGAGGCGTGCTCTCTCGGTAAACTCCGATTGTAGTGATCGCCACCTTGTACATCGTGTCGGGCTGGAGCCCCGTGATGACTGCAGATCTAGCGTCGGGACCCGGAGAGGGGATGAGCCGCTCCGTCGCCTCCTCCTGCCCGTACATGATGCGGTACCCGCTCACCGCCGCGTCGGGAGGCACCCAGGTGAAGACCAGCATGGAGTCGGTCACTTCAACGAACTGCAGGTGTGTGGAGGAACGCGCTCCTGGAAATGCACGGTCAAAATCAGTTTCCAGATCCGTTTTCTATCCATAAACTTTCTGGATAGTCCACTTGTATCCAGAAACGTGCCTGGGGCAATTCTACGTTTTTGCAGAGACTACGCGGAGACTATCTCGAACCGTGCCTGATGCTAAACTTAAACTTATAGGCATAGAACTAGATATGTTTACGATAATACCTGATGGAAGTGATGAAATGATTTAAAACAAGATAAATATACCTTGTTTTTTTTCATAAACTATACCATTTTTGGTTGTTACTTGTACCTAGCCCATTGAGACAAAATTTGCAATAATGGTCTCTGTTAAGTTATAATTCAATTTATATGGCCACTAATTACGAGGAACAAAGCACTCCGTACCAGTGACTTCGCGCATGATCGCCTCCTCGCTCTGTGACCTTTGACCCTCCGACAGGACCAGTGACGTCACCTCGATGACGTAATAAGTTTCCGATGACAGCCCGTTCACCATGCATGACGCCCGGTCCGTGCTGTGATTGGCAGCTGTCGTCAGGTCCAGCCTCAGCACCACGACACGGTACCCCTGAAGGTCAGGGTCACGGGATGGAGACCACGTGACATTGAACCCTCCTTCCGTGACGTCAGTAACGGCCAGGTTAACAGGTGGGTCCACAGCTGCGGAAAAAGTGCAAGTGCAAGTGATCTCCAGTTTAGCTACATGAAGTCAATAAACAGTTGAGCTAATTTTTCATTGGTAGTGACGGAAGGACGGAAACTTTGTACAGTATTACAGGTCAATTGTACCGGGGAAATACCCCTAGCTCCTGCTTTTCGATGAGTGCAATGCACACTTGACTATGGCTCAACTTAATCTTTTCTACAGATAGGCTGATGACCGAATACCATCTTTAGTACAAAGCTACGTGGATGCCCGTACACCGTACTTTCTGTACAAAGCTGTGTTGATGCCTGTACACGGTACCTGCAGCAAAAGCTATGCTGATGCCCGTACACCGTACCTTTAGTACAGCGCTATATTGATGACAGTACACCGTACCTTCAGTACAAAGCTATGCTGATGCCCGTACACCGTACCTTTAGTACAGCGCTATATTGATGCCTGTACACCGTATCTTTAGTACAGCGCTATATTGATGGCAGTACACCGTACCTTCAGTACAAAGCTATGTTGATGACCGTACACCGTACCTTCAGTACAAAGCTATGTTGATGACCGTACACCGTACCTTCAGTACAAAGCTATGCTGATGCCCGTACACCGTATCTTTAG